TCATCGCTTCGTTCTTTTTCTTTTCGTTCTTAATGATAATGAGTGGGAATTCTCTACACATTATCAAAAAGGAGGCATGTTTTATCTCAAAATATAAAAGGACTAGAAGCTACAGCAAAAAACGTTGACGGTACGAGTTAAAGCCACCGTGTTGAATCACTATTACCAAAGTCTTCTTAGGCTGTATATTCTAATGTCTGCACCCTTACCAATAAAGAATTTTTATCTTCAAAATAGAAATTATAGAACTTACTTACAGCCTGGTACTCACGTGATGGACAAATAAATACCTGTGATTTTTTGCGGCTTATTTGATATAAAACTCCTGCCATTGAATCAACATTGCATTTCAATGGCGAATACTAGCAGCGTCATGACCTCAACTGCAGCCAGTTGGTAAGTTTTGTCATCTTTTGAAATACTGGAGTTATGCATCACAATACTTAGTGAACTAGCGTTATTGTCTGATAGTTAGTGTTGAACCCAGATAAAAGGGCAAGCCTGGGCACCGCTAGAACAGGCAAACTTGACAAGCAAAATCACTGTGTTCGAAACAAAGCATTGCAGATCGCAGATTAAGGATATGTGGGATGTCTAATGACGCCTTCAATATATATAAGTCCTGCTATCAATCAAATTTAAACAAACTTTTCAATCCATCCCATGTTGTTGAATGTATTTCTCCATCGGTCGACAATCATCGAAACAAAGAAACGAAGCATGAATGTTAGTGGAATATGCACCAGTTTCTTATCGCAATAAGTTGCGATTCTTTCAAAAGTTCTGGGTCGGTGAGTTACAACATACCTTTGTGCTCATGTCGGAAGAGCATATCGATAAACACCGAAAATTATGTAGTAAAAAATAATCCACATTTCTAACTCTAACATTATCGATTTCCAAATCGATCCTCGCCATCGCAACAGAAGTCGAACAAAGGTAAAGCCAGAAGCAGATGAGACATCAGCATTGTAAGACACCGTCATCACCAGAAATTTGTTGAACTTTCGGATAAGGATTGAAAGAACAGTTCGATAGTGAAGTGGTGATGGTTCAAGGGCACGGAGTTAATAACAAAGTGCATCTTCTATTTCGGCATCGCATGGATCAATTCTATTTAATCAGGCTAGCTGGTAGTCTGTTCACTCTTCTAAATCTGTTTTTTCGTCAGTCAAGTGATGTTGCAAGAGCTGCTTGGTTTTGATTACCGGTCTTAACAAAAAAAATTTCGCCGTACTAAGTCCAGTTAAGAGTAAGCTTCATCTCTTTGCGTTCAACAGACATAATATGAACAACTATTTTTAATCAAATCGTTATGAAACATGCGAGGTGTACGTTGTACTCTAAGAGAGTTTTGTAGGGCAGAATATGAAGACATTTGTCGCTCTCCACAAAACTTACGACAAAAAAGCTTTTTCATCGTTCGTCGACCTTGCCAGTTGAAAAGGGGCACGATGAGGTCGCACCGTATCGCTACTCTTCATTATGTTAGTTTTCCAGTTGGCAAGGTTTCTCTAAAAATTTCGCCGTACTAAATCCAGGTAAGAGTAAGCTTCATCTCTTTGCGTTCGACAGACATAATATGATCAACTATTTCTGATCAAATTGATATGAAAGTGCGAGGTGCACGTCACACTCTAAGAGAGTTTTGTAGGGCAGAATATGAAGGCATTTGTCGCTCTCCACAAAACTTACTATAAAAAAGCTTTTTCATCGTTCATCGACCTTGCCAATTGAAAAGGGGCACGATGAAATCGCACCGTATCGCTACTCTTCATAATGTATTAGTTTTCCAGTTGATAAGGTTTTTCTACCTGAAATCGCAGATGAAATTCTTTTCAATGTAATATCTTTAAAGCAGATGTCTCAAAGAGACTTTACCCGATAGGGAGAACAAGACATCCGGATTGCCTTTGGAACTTCAAAGGATGTGACGGAACAACAGTTGATATATGAATTCTAACCAATGTATACTTTGCAAAGAAGAACGCAAGGAAAAAGAAAACAACCGAGAAATAGGTAGACGGTTTTTCCAAAGGATGCATTATCAAGAAGTCAGCTGATTACTTCTGCACAACTTTTGCGAATAAAATTAAGGCCGTTACCAGAAAACCCAATGGCGCAAGCAAGAAAAAGAAAAAATGGTACCTTTACAGTAGCATTTACATTACTCAAAAATTGGTTGTTTGAGTTCAGTTATTTCAAGTTTTGTCCGTTATCATACCTCTTTCTAGACTGATATTTTGAAGAAAAAAGCGAATTTATAAATGTTTTTTAAGTAGTTGAAGTAGTATTTCTATTTATTCGCACCAAATTGTCACAAAATGCTCTTTGAGATGAAACTCTTTAATAATAGAATTGTTGAGAATTTTTAAGTAAAGCTGATGTGTTATTGTGATCCTTATAGACAGCATAAAAGTCATTAGCGCAATGCCATAATATAACTTTGGCCAAAGCAAGACTAAGCCTGCGTTCAACATTAGAATGATAAAAATTCTCAGTTCAGTGCGGATGTCATATTAGGTTGAACTAAAAGTGATGTTGCTTTGATTTTGAAAAATCGTGACTGCCCCCTTGTGAGCGTATCTGCTCACAAAAAATAGGATGTGAAAAAAAATTTATTCACTTTTTAGCACTAGTTACTAGCTCCGCTGTTCTTCGACGACAAGGAACTCCAAAAATAAAAATTCGAATAGGAGAGCCTTCAACCCTGGATTCTGAAAAATTCTTCAAAAATCTGAAACACTGCATAAAAATTTGGATACATGTCTTTTACCATTTACGCAAGCTGCTCTTTCTAAAGCTCTTTTTAGCGCTTTGAGTTTGCATGCCACTTTAACTATTAGCCAACCTAATTCCGGCCAACTTACTCAAACTAGCTAGCGCTATAGAATAGTGCAGTGATTTTTACACAAGACCTAATTGTAATTGACCTTCAAAGTGAATAAAACTTAAAGATAAAAGAACATCTTTGATCAAAAACAAAGCCCCCTGTATACTTTTATAAGACTTTTCTCACACGAAAACTTTGTATTCGTGGTGCGTTGTCGTGGCCAAGCCTATATCAAATTGCCCCGACAGTTTATTTTCAAACTAACCACCAATTTTCATAGAACAGACAGAAGAGACGAAATCATAGCTGATCGTGAGTCTTCTATTGGTCCATCCAGCACACGCGATTACCGCCATAGCTATTAGTATTGTTCTATGAGTATGTGCCAGAAACTTCTATTGAAAAGTTTCTTTTTAAGCCTTAAACGACGCAGTAAAGGGTTCATTTTTTAGTCGAAATTTCCTACTTTAACTTTTTAAAGATTTCATTGATAGCGCGGGAGCATATTAAAACCGGGCTCAAAAGTGACCCAATCAGGTCGTTCCAAATTGCGATACAAATTTCACTATTTGCAAAAAATGCCTTGGAAATTAAGCTTGAATTATTTGAAATTCAAGAGTTACGTTGTTGATACAGTTATTAGCATAATTAGAGAGATTGTGATCCTAATAGATTGATGAGCCGTAAGCGCGGACCATCATTTCAGCATTCACAAGGTTTTGATGACAAAACCATAAACATTACAAAGAGGAGAGTAAACTGCATCAAAACAAACTACAAAGGAAGTGCGGAAGTGGCAGTGGCCTTTTAATATGAAATAGGTATCAAATAAATCAACTGAAACGCTTATTCCAAAGTAGTCTTTCTTAACTGCAAAACATATCTGGGTCAGGAGTTCGTGAATCTTATCTGGAAATCTACAACGCTGAGAGTAGCCAAAACTGTTAAAGCCCATGTATTATGTGCACATAGATGAGATAGTCTCTCAATGCTTAGTGTAATTCTACTTCTTCCTCAGTGTTGTGCCGTAGTGCTCGACAAATCGAACAATTTTCGTAATCACAGGGTACTTTGAATAATGTAAAATTCGGTGAGCAAAATGCTCATAACTCTCATCCTAGACTTGCATTGCATTTCTAAGGCTGGGTTCATACTGATCCGAAAGTTCCAGAACAGCTCCTGCACAGTTTTCAAACTGCGTTGGAATTGCGTCGGAACCATTGAAAACCGCCGGAACCGCCGCAACTGCATGCGCTGTAGCCGCCCGCACGGTGGGAATTAGACTTTTTGACCGTTTTCAGGACGGTTCTCTCCAACTTCACTTACTTCGTTCTGTTCTTCTACTTTGCTTTTCCTTGTGATGAGAAGAGTATCGCGAAGCGTGTGGTTGGAGAATGAGCGCCGTTCTGCTTCCTGGTATCCGAGAAACTGTGTATCCATTTTTTCTTCGTTTTTTTGTTCAGGACTACTGCATGTCCAGGAAGCCTCTGCGTAGTTTTCGCAGTCATCTGTCTTAAGCTAGGACATGCAAGCAAATCTTAGAATACAAAAAATTTATGCAAAAAATTATGACTTTCCTCTACTGTTCTGATATGTTTCATTTTTGGGTATTCTCAACCCCTTTCCCTTTTCCATATCATTGTTTATCCTTTCGTTCTTCTACATCGCTTCTCCTTATGACCAGAGAAAGCTGCAGCTTGAACCGGGGAAACAATGCACGCTGTTCTGCTCCATGTGTCCGAGAAAATGGGTCTTTGTGCGTTCGGCCATTCTTTCTTCGTTACTTTGTTCAGATTTAATTCATGTGCACTAGAAAGCTGTCTGCCTCTTTTAATACATATGGGGTACTAAGCAGCGGCTTCTTGGAACATGAAGTAAGTCTGAATAAAAATAAAAGAGAGAATGGACGGGAGCACGAATACTTATTTTCCCAGATACATGGAAGCAGAACGGCGCTTATTCTCCAACCGCGCTTCATCGTTGAAAACCGTCAAAAAGTTTGACGTCCGCCGTTCAAAATCACATGTTGGCGGTTCCAGCGCACGCAACACAGTTTCGGCCAAGTTCTAGCACAATTCAAGGACGTATTTTACGTATTTCACGTCAAAAAGCCATTGCTACTTCTGACCCTCTTGTTAGAAAGCTTTCCAGATGTTGCTTCGAGGTTGTGACCTTACAAGAGAAGAAAAAACATCTTGGACAATCTTCAGATTGCCTCATTCAAATTTACGTAGCTATCTCTTAATTCATATTCTTCAAAAAATCAAAGAGTACACAGAACATTCAAAGCTTCACGAAATCTTTCTCTTCTTCATCATCTTCCGGTGCGATGCTTTCCTCCGCAACGATGCTCAGTGCTCTTGCATCAGCTGTAAAAAAATTTCTAGAACTGTGTTTTCTTTTCAAAGCTACTATAGTAAGACTATCATAACCTACGCCTTTGAAAGTTTAGCGTTACGACCTTTCGCAGAGGAGAATCTGGAGGAACTGGTGGGACGGGACTATCCTTGAGCGGTTTGATTGTTTGGGTGCGGTGTCTAGATGATTTAGTACATACATACATACACACATACATATATAGATACAAACGTGTACATACACCCATAGATAGACATATATAATTATATAACTTCTGACACACTTATTGTTCTGAGATTTTGGAATTTACTATGCATGACCTTACATCATATAATATCTTGCTCTATAGACAACAACTTCTCACAGACACAGAACAGGCGTCGATTACAATTTAATTTCATCAACATTTTTTCGTCCCCCTTCTCTGAGAGATATTTAGAGATATTTATATTTTCCCATATATTAAAGGCAGTGGCTCGGCAAATCGCAACCTAGTCAAATTTTTGCTTACCTGGGGTTATTCATTACGCTGATCCCGAAAATCCACTTTAGAGAGCTTGAAAACGGCGAAAACATGCGTTTTTGAATGCCCTTCGCTTTGAAGTTGGACGAGTGGAGCAAGGCTGATGACGCTGAAGCGTTGCAGGACCCGATGGCTACAGCATTGAGGCGGGCATTCTCCAATGGTGGGATGGAAATTGCCAACTCGTCCGGGTGCGTGTAAGATTGGCTTGTGCGTGTAAGTTTGAGAGCAGTTTTCTCGGCAGGGAAGGCATGCTGCGCAACCGGGATTGCACTGTTTTCATACTTGGGCGATAAGGAACCTACTGCGTTAAAATCATGCGTTGTTAAGTTTTGCCGATCCACTGTCTTCAAGTTACTTTTTTACAGAACATATTATTCTCACAAGCGGATCGAATACTAAGGAAGTTTTAGGTTAGTTTCCATTTTCTCATTTTGGTTCTTACTCCCACGGCCTTCCCTCACTACTGATGAGATTCGGGGAAGGTCGTATATCAATCTAATTTCCATATAGTGAAAGGATCGAAACGGAAATTGGATATATCTCAGTTTTTTCTTTTATTTTATTTATTAGTGGTAAAAATTCAGTAACACAAGAGCTGGTTTATTTTTAGATCGCGCGTCATTTCAGATCAAAGCTTCTTCGCCTTGGCATTGTAATGAAATAAAATAAAAGAATTACTGTAAGCTAACTATCATCTAAAATGATAAATGTTGTACAAAATTCAATTTTTGACAAAAACCACTCAGAATTAACACTTAGATTTTGCTGAACACATTTAACCCAAATGTAGTTAGTATGTTCTTCAATCTTACTCAGCAAGCTCACGATAGAACTCATGTTTCGCCAATTAATTGGAGGCACTAGAAGAACTTTAGTCAACATAAAAATGTCGTAGGTGCTTGGACTACAGAACCCACCGGTTCATACATGTGAACAGCAAAAAAGACTTCAATCCGCAACAGCGGAAGTTAAAAATGGGCCTTGTCACAAATGTGGCAGCAAAGAATTAAGTGACTTTTAGCACAGCACTATAGGTCTTTTGCATCTTGAACATACAAGTGACCTTCGCCTACTATTCTCAGGGCTCGGTACAAGGTGGTTCTCGCGATATTTTGTAAACGTAATTCCCCTTGGCTTCACAACAAAATTACGAAGTCCCCTATGAGACCCTCATAATTCAACTAAACATATATTACAAAAGATAGCACAGATTGCAAAAAAGAACATCAAACACTTGATGAAAAAACTGTCCTATACTCTAACTTGCGGCTTGCGGCGCACCACCTTGCCCTTGAAGCAGAATTGCAACTCCCTACTACCCATTCAACACCAAATTTGGTGTCATATTAGCTCCTCTTCAGCGTAAACAACCCTTTTCTAGCGCACATTTTTCAACTCCTGCGCTTGTAAAAAGACTGCTTTTGGATCGGGAATTTGCTGGTTTGCTGAAATGGATCGGTTGATCGGTTAACGCGACTTGCGACGTCCCCATAATGCCCCGGGCAGACTTCACGCGATTTGATCGTCGCGACTGAATCGCGACGAGACAACTGTTACAACATCATTCCATGCCGATCAACTTGCATTCGGTTGTGATACTTTTCCAGCCCGAAATTTGTGAATGTGAAATGAAAATGAATGGAAATCTTGGCGATTATATCGCGACGATTGAGTCGCGTGAAGTCTGTCCGGGGCCTAAGATGACGAGGTGGAGTAAGAGAAGGTGGAGGAGTGCTTGTGAGGGCGGATGGGGGGGGGGGATGAAAGCTGGTGGCAAGTATGTGTATGACTCATTAAATAATAGCCATGGGATGGATAAGTTTTGTTCTCAAGGAAAAGGGGGAGGGGGAGTTGCACAAACTTTTTGGCTCAGAAGGCATGAATCCACCAAATACTTTTCATCTTGATTTCAAAAAATCGCAATCTGTTATAAATATTTTTGAAGTTTGCTGTCGATCAGTCTCAGCAATATCCGATTTTCTTGAAAATTTTTTGCCACTCCGGATGCTCCGATTTAGCACACGAAGCGATTGGATTTTTCTTTACATACACCCTGCTGAGTTAATACATGCGTTCTTTGGGCTTTGCTTGGGGCTCTGCAATATCTTCAATATTTTTACCATCAAAACGATCCAGCCTGCTCCGTAAGCCAACTGTGAAAAGCCTGACTATTTTCGGTAGTCCCTATGGCTGTCTTTTCAGAATCCTTGAGGAATTGAGTTTTTTGAGCATTTTTCAAAGTTGCGCGCTATACCACATATTCATCGAGCAAGTGGCATACTGGTTAAAAGCGCTTTAGCTCTTCCAAATGCAATATCAAATATGCAACTTATCTTCTAAAACAAAAAGTTGAGAATATCATAATATTACTTGAAAGGCAATTTCTGGGGCATTGAAAAATCAAATCAAGTCTCAAACTTATATTCCAAAACTGAGGTTTGAGATAAGCTGCACATGGATGAATAAAGCATAAAATGTTTAACAGATGATAACCAGAAAGTATTCACATGCGATCTCCTGCCTAAAGGAAATGGTACCTCGACCTCGATAATTTGTTTTCCTGCGCAGAAATTGCTCAAAGATCAACATTACTCGCACTGACTGCCTTCATTTGAGTAAGTACAAAAGTTATGACACATATGCTTGTTCTTTGAGCCTTGGTTGGATAACACTGATTTTCTAATATTTAAACACCTGAGGCTTCTGATTGCTTTTCTTTTTTCAAATGAGCAGCAATTATTCTTCACACTTTCGACCACTCTAAGAAATTTGTGGTAGTTAGATATCTAACGATAAAGGACATAATAGATTTGCAGAGGTCCCACTATTTGCGGAAGTATTTCCGCACTTATATTTTATTTCGGAAAGTTTTGAGCTTCTTTCTATTAGGTTGTCAAGAAAATAATGTCGTTTTTTTTTGTTTGCTTTAGCAAAGCAACCAGAGTCAACCCTACAAAGGATAAGGGGTACTGTTCGATAAAAGAAAGCAAGCTCTACAAGATGGCGTTTATAATTTTGCACCAAGCTCGATCCAAAAAAAGTTTGAACTCGAAATCTAAAGATTTTTAAATGTCCAAAAAATCGAAAGAAATCAGATCTTCGTGCAAATAATTTAATGGGACCTCCCACTCACACACGTCAATACTTTCAATATCAGACACCCACAAGTGCAGTTTTTGTATTTTTTCCTTGACTAGAAACTGAGAAGACGAAAATTTTCATGATATTCTCAAAGCGTGCTGAGCCGTTCTTGCATATGTAATTCTATACTACGAACCTAGTTAAGCGTAAATATAGATTTTCAGCCTACGAGTGATAGTTTTCGAAAAATATTGATTTCAGCACTGAAATTGAGAAGAAGGAAGCTGATTTCAATATTTCCCAAAAACTACCGCTCGGATGGGCTGAAAATCTAAAATTATACTTACCTAGACTTGTAATATAGAACTGCATATGCAAGAACGGCTCAGTATTGCTTTGAGAAAATCATGAAAATTTTCGTTTTCTCTGTTTCTAGTCAAGGAGAAAACACAGCAACTGCACATGTGACGTCTGATATCGAAAGCATTGACGTGTGTGAGTGGGAGTTTCGTATAAAATATGTGGACGAAGATCTGATTTCTTTCGATTTTTTGAGCAATTGGAAGTCTTTAGATTTCGAGTTCAAACTTTTCGTGGATCAAGCGTGCAAGATCATAAGGGTTGACTCTGGTTGCTTTGTTAAAGCAAGCAAATAAAAAACGACATTATTTTTTTGACAACCTAATACAGCGTGTCCCAAAAAATGATTGTAAATAACTCTTTTGTGGTGAAGTGTTTTGAGAAGCTTTAGGTATATTTTGTAGAGCGAGGTTCAACTTAGATTTACAGTGTAGAGCTAAGCGCCGATCTTTCATTCTTACTGTAGGATTACGGCAGAAACTTTAAAGAGGATTTTGAGCCATGAAAGGCCATATTTTGTTCCAGAAAGAAACCAAAACAACTTGAAAACTCTCATACTGGGCTAACTAGAGTTGCTGATTCTAAATGTGAGGTTCGCAACTCTTAATGCTTCATTAAAAAATTATGCGAGGTAAGCAGTAGCAGACGTTTTTAAGCGTTCCTAAAAAGTGCGGTTATACCGTTTAGAAAGCTTCTCAACCTTGTAAAGAGTTGGGTATTGAACTCAGGGTCCATAAAAACCCTATTACACAAATTTCCACATTTTTTTTTGAAAATTTTTGAAACGGCAGCTTTTTTCACAGCGACACCATATGTTTGAAGTTTCTACCGTACTCCTACAGTAAGAATGAGCGATCGGCGATTCGCTCTACAGTGTAAATCTAAGTTGAACCTCGCTCTACAAAATGGTACCTAAAGCTTCTCGAAACACTTCACTACAAGAGAGTTATTTACAATCAAACAGTATACACATTTTTTGGGACACCCTGTATAATGAACTCTAGGCAAAAATTAGACTGGAAATTAAGTTTTGCAATTTTTCCACCACTTTCTCTCCCTGATTTAAGCACCCATTCTTTAGCTTTTAGTCGGAAGACATACTACAAATGCAGCTGTTGTTTGGAAGTGACACCACCCATGCGAGGGACACGGTAAGTAACGGAGGGCAACTGGCAAGTAAGCAAGATAGAATTGACAAATTTAGATAAAACTTGGTCGAGTCATTCGATATACTGATCACAAAAATAATACTCATTTCTTCGCATGGTAGGGCTCTTTTTGTAAAGTTACGAAGATTGTGTTCGTTTTTTTACGTTGACAACAATTGAATTTGACATTCCTGCTTAGCAGGTCAAGTTCCTGTGTAGTCTCACAGTCTCAAAAATCTCAGTTCCGACTCTAGACTGAAGGATCTCCAAAGTAGATTTGACACTTTTAACGCTCTTTTCTTCTCGAGCATGCCAGATTTCGATCTGTTCTCAACTCAGAAATTTTTTTAGCTGAACTTAGTAGGCAACCTCCAATTATACTTTGCTTGCAGTTTCGCCTCGATATGTTTGATTAAATTAGGTGAGCGGCTTTTGAGCTTTACGCATGGTTTTTTTTCTTTGCAACCTGAAAAACCTCATGTATGACCGGGCCCTAAGAATGCGTAGACTCATTTTGTTATTTAAAGAAATTGTGCGTTTTTGTAGCTCACTATGTAGTCCACCTAATGCCAAAACTGAAGGGCGTCCTACTCAAAAAGCATGAAGTATGAACAAAGACGATCCTATATCAAAAGCCTTTTTGACTTTTCATGTGAAAGTCCTGTCTTCTGTCAATTATAGGTAAAACTTAGATCCGCGAAATTAAAAGTGTTACTTACGGAACTCCCAAAGCGCCGCTTATTTTCCTAGCAAGCGACGGCGTTTTGCGTTGTCTAAGCGACTCATCTGTAATTTATAGACTATCATCACAACTTTGTGAGCAAAACTAGTTACCATCAGTAGAGGGACTCCTGCTAACAGCCACCATCTCAACATGATTACCTTTAGCTAACCTGAAATGCAACATTTATGAGGTCATTACTTAACGTGAAAGCGGGCAACAAGCGCCACCTTATTTACAGTCTTGTTGAACTGTCTGTTTCAGTTATCAATCAATCAGCATGGAACTAATACAAGTTATTGAAATGGGTGACGATGTAAAGAATATAGAAATAATTATAGTGAAATTTTGCAGAAAATTGCGAGCCTTATGGCATAGATAAAAGTATCGGAGAGAATGTCTCTAACTTTTTGCGCGGAAGGCCACTTTACTATGCCAAACTTTAACATCATTTGAGGATTAGCGAGTACTAAATACAGTGCTTGGGCCTTTAGGCTGGGTTTATACTGATTCCCATGTTCTGGAACTGTTCCCGCACAGTTCTGGCACTGTGCTGGAACTGTGCGGGAACAGTTTCAGAACTGTGCTGCATGCGCTGCAGCCGCCCCGCACCGTTTTGAACGGCGGGAGTTGAAGAATTTTGACCGTTCTCAACGGTTTTTCTTTCAGATTTCTCTCATTTTGGCCTTATTCCTCCACCCGCTTCCCTTTTTGATAGCAGAACTTCGAACTCGAAGCGGGGTTGAAGAATGAGCGCTTTTCTGCGCCGTGTATTTGGAAAGATGGGCTGTCGTGCGATTGTCCATTCTCTCTTCGTGATTTTTGCTCAAAACTTCATTTGTTCCAGGAAGCGGCTGCCTAGTTTCCATAGCCATCTGCCACGAATTAGAGAGTCGGAGCAATTCTGAATCTGCATGAATTGGGACTTATCTCTTGCTTTTGATGATTTTGGGCGTTCTCAGTCCCTTTCGTTTTTCCATATCGTTGCTTCTTCGTTCTTTCTTCTACCCCGCTTCTCTCAGTGATGAGAAAAACGTGAATTTGAAGCGGGGTTGAAGATTGAACGCTGTTCTGCTCCATGTATCCGGATAGATAGGCTGTCGTGCGCTCGTCCATTCTCTCTTCGTGATTTTTGCTCCAAACTACTTCATGTATACTAGCAAGTCGCTGCGTAGTCTCCATCTGTATTGAAATTGACATAGACAAGTCTCTAGAACACATGAAGTAGGCCTGAACAAAAATGGCAGAGAAGATGGACGAGCGCACGAAGGTCCATCTTCCCGGATACATGAAGCAGAACAGCGTTCAATCCTCCGCTTCAAATTCACAGCTTTTCTCATCATTAGGAGAAAGGGGGTAGAAGAAAGAACGGAGAAGCAACGATATGGAAAAACGAAAAAGGCTGGGAACGCCCAAAATCATCAAAAACAAAAGACAAGTCCCAACTCATGCAGTTTCAGAATTTCTCCTGCTCCTTAATTCGTGGTAGATGGCTATGGAAACTATGCAGCCGCCTCCTGGAACAAATGAAGTAGTTTTGAGCAAAGATCACGAAGAGAAAATGGACGAGCACACGACAGCCCATCTATCCGGATAAATGGAGCAGAACAGCGTTCAATCCTCAACCCCGCTTCGAGTTCGAAGTTCTGCTGATCAAAAAGGGAAGCGGGGTGGAGGAAAGACCAAAATGAGAGAAATCTGAAAGAAAAACCGTTGAGAACGGTCAAAATTCTCCAACTCACGCCGTTCAAAACGGTGCATGCGCTGCACCGTTCAAAACGGTGCAGCGCATGCACCGTTTTGAACTGTTCCCGCACAGTTCCAGCACAGTGCGAGAACTGTGCGGGAACAGTTCCAGAACATGGGAATCAGTATGAACCCAGCCTTACTTGAAACTCACGGTAACTCACTCGATGCCTTCAGCTGAACCTTGCAAGGCACCATCCGTACCCTTTTTGTGACTTTCCTCAGAGTATATTGGCTGAAAGTCGGAGTCAATGAATTGGTCTTGCATGAGCTGAGGGCAAACACCGTAAGTATTGTCCACGATAGCCATACCTGTCTAAATTTATGACTTAGATGCTAATCTCGAACAAATTTAAAAAAATAAGTACAGCGATATTTTTGTCTATCAGAAAGTTGCACTCAAAATCGTCATCGTCTTCTCCAAGGGGGTTCAGTAGCGCTTCAGCAACCTAAAATTTGAGAGAATTCGCTGCGCAGAGTTCTCACAAAAGAGAGTCAAGAAGTTGAAGTTGCCGAATCCTACGAACTGCATGCCATTACTGAGAGCTTGGAACGCCAATTCCAAATCTGCTTAAGTTATCTGCAGAGCGCATTTGGAAAAACTTATGGGCATTTTTCTGAAGCGAAAAAATGAATTAGTGGCCGGGTAATATTGATTACTAAAGCCTCTGAAGACCTTAAATAAAGCAGTGGCTAGATCCTTCTGCGTAGTAAATCAATTCATCCTATTTCGTCAATTGACTGGGAAGGCTGTAACAATTGATTTCCTTCTTGTTATTAGAACACTTACGACTCAAAAAAAGCTCATAGCAGTCGGGCTTTACTGGTATGGAAAGTAGCTTTGGAGTCATCGCTCCAAGCTCTCATTATGGGTGTGCAGCTCGTGGTAACAGGTCACTTCAACTTCGTGATCCTCCCTTGTCAGAATGATGCGCTCGTATTTGCGCTTACCTTCATCCAACCAATGAAGAAAATGAATTCCAACACCGTCATGAACGGCACATATAGATCAATCTAAAATTGATGCGATATCAATGTGTAAAGAATAATAGCAAACGGTAGTAGTATGCTTCTGCTGGAGAAAGCCGTAAGCTAATAAAAAGTCCAGTCTGTTTTTCATAAACGCTGGAAATAAATAATGACCTCTGCAGTGAGCGCCAGGAGTTTTAGAACCAGCCAGGTAGAGTACCATATAAGCCTGACAAAGATGAGAGGAACGTCTGACGAATGCAAGGTCAACAGTGAAAATGAGAGTCTTTTACAGAAATGCAAGAACAGAGTAAGCGTCGGTTCAGCTAGTGTGATATGTACTTGAGTCCATAGCTGCGCTCGTATGTTCAATTATAGCCATTCTTGAAGTTTGCAAAAAATTAAACAATTTTAGTTGCTTTACTGTTCGTAGAAATGCTATTGCATACAATCTTTATCTTTAAGTGTAGTCGGTTAAGAAAACGAAGCTAGGCACTGTTTCAACGTTTTTTTGTTTAATAAAAAAAGAGCAAAAAATTAAGGTTGCCAAATCCTCTCGGGATGCGCAAAGGTGACAAAATTCCGTATTTTTGACTAGAGCAATACAAAATAGCAGATCACAGGTTTGTTGTTATTTGCTGTGCAGAAAAAGCTTGTGTGTATCTATTTTCCACATTCTGCACACTCATCAACAGCATATAAACGAAATTCAACAGTTCAATGACGAGGAAAGAATACTTATTGACCGTGGCCATGAGGATATCGCTAAATGCGTTTTGCGTTTTGAAACGGATATTACGACTCTGCTTCCATTTTCCGTTGTATGAAATTGTTTGAGATAACTTTTGGGCTTTTCTCCGCATAATTTTTGCACAAAAGCATAGTGAAACTCACTGATAACTAATTTTCTTGAAATCAAACATAACTTAGGAAAAAGTGTGCAAGTTGTTTTTTTTTTCAAATATTGTTTCGAGGAGCGAAATAAGGCAGCGTCTTGCTTAATTGAAACAGTGCAAATTTTTATGCCAAAGAACTTATTTCGTATTATTTCAGACAGTGGCTAAGCAGACAGCAAAAGAAAAATTGAAATCAGCCTACTAACGCTCATCTAGTGATATTCTCACATGATCACGGTCACCAAGTATCTTCCTCTCTGAGCTTTCAAAAGCTAGCATATTTTTCCCCCCTACATTGCCATTAGAATATTGGATAACTTGAACTTGAGAACTGACAAGTAATAGTAAAAAAGACTGCCTTCCGCAAAAATAACTAGTTATATATAAACTAACTTCTCGCAGTAATTCACACGGCAAGACATTTTAGCCAATCTATCAAATAATTTTGTAAGAATTTTGAGCATAACTATAATGCGAGGATTTCATAAAACTTATCTAATTCCAGTGCGCATGGCTAGCATGCTCTTTTAATTCGCGATGTTTCCCTCCCTTCCATCCTCCAGCAACAAATTGCTAATCCTGCTAATTTCCTTATTTGTGATCGTAAGAGGAAACGTATACCAATACCACTCATGGCAAGAATAGCCTAGTAGATTCGACGCTCAATATGATATTCATGCGTTTTTGACATTATTTGCGATGACATTGACAGTCATTTACTTCACATGCAACAAATAAGACTTGTTCGTGACGCTAATTAATTAATTTAATAGGAACGAAAACTCAACTTTGTTTTTGACTAGAGATAAAGAATAACTGTACCTATCGTATTGTATCATGTTGAGGATGGTCTATGGGTGAAACTTATCTCATGCGCATAAAAACTGTGAAGAGTTCAATGGACTCAGGACTTGCCCGACCACTCAAGATTTGCGTGGTGTTTGGAAAGCGCTTAATTCGATCATGTAATTACATTAGGCTGTATACGGTAATGAACTTCAGCGCGAAATTATCTTGTTATAACATTGAAGAGCATTTTGTCAAGAGTGAGTTTTGCCCATTCAGACTTGATACTCTGCGGTGCCAAGAAGCTGAGTAGGCATCAATACTCCACAATTATGTGATCTTGAGTAAAGGTGATTATTGTTTTGTACTTACTACACTTTTATTACTTGCATTGCTGCCGATGATAAACTGTCTTGATACGAGGCAGATTATGAAGTACACTCGAACGGCAAGAAAGACGACCTTAATCATATAAGCATAGCAATTTGCAAGCATAGCGAGCTATAAGTGTGCCTGTGGATACGCGATAGGAATTGGCACCCAGTCGTAGTTGCAGATGCGAGCCATGTTCGTTCGAAAATTCTTGATCTCCTAAATCGAATTGCTATTTCGTAATTTTGCGTCATTTCTCCTCTTCAATAATTTCCTACGTTTTGGAGAGCTACTGCTCCTACTAGTGTCTCAATGCACCCCTCCTTGAATGCTTGCATGACTATATTCAATGACCAATTGACAGGTGCCCAGTACTTGTTGTAGACCAAGTTGATATTTTCTAGATCTCTTAGCTCGTTTTCATGGAGAAAACCTTGAAGCAAAAATTTGACAATTAGCAAAAAATAGACTGCCTAGACCTCTAACTTACCAGCAATAACGAGCGACTCCATGTTAGGAAATCGTCTCCGAACACGCATGGACACATCCCGAAGGACCAAAACCTTAATGGCTCTATTACGCTACTCATGTTCCATCACCTACGTGTAAACCAGTTCCATCACACAGTGACTGATAACGGAACTTAGGTTCGGCCTACTCAACACTTAGTATAGCGCAAAGAAACCTCAAATTTATTTCACAAAACCACGAACAAAGCATGGCCGGCGTCGTTCTCTCTTCCATGAAATCGATGAATGCCTGATGGTCAAGGAAAGGTTGTGTAGTTTCTCTTAGTGAACATCTTAAACCGGTAATTTCACGAAGCCGCCAGCAACAGCTCATCACTGATGCAGTGCCCCATATCTCGAAACTAGCATTTCTTGTGCAAATTTCTCCTCAATGAAGTCGGTACTTTGCAGAAAATTAGGACGTGAAATTAGGGGTCGTATGGTACAGTATTAGTAAAGCCTTTAAGCGAGAAATCCACTTGTGTCAAGCCTATCTATGATGATACCTTCTCACAGAAGCAATAAACTCAGATTCGGCTTACCTGAGATAATACGGTGTACCGGATGATTGCTCTTCTCCAAAGCGTAGCCTTCAAAGTTTTTCCTTTCAATAATGTTGCAACAGTTAGCGCCAAGCTAAAATTTGAAATCAAGCATGTCTGGAAAAAAGATGGAAGCTACTTTTCACTTTGTGCTGATTTGATGCCGTATCAAAAACTACAGAAGCAAACTCACTTTTCAATCCAACCCATATTGTGGAAAATATTACGCCAACGATCAATGATGACGGTGACAAAGAAACCCAGCATAAAGGTAAGAGGAATGTATTTGAGTTTTTCATCGCAGTGTGCTGCTACACGTTCGAAGTTTCTGCAATAGTAATTATTTTATATTCATTAATGAATTTTGAGTGCCTGATAGGCCGCCAAGCAAGTACGAAGTTGCTCTGCAATCTATAACATCAATAGTGATATGAGTCAAAACGTAAAAAGTGACCGCTTAAGCGAGGTTTTACAAGAATTGCACTTATTTGTTAGTTATAATCAGCATATATCTAGAAAATTTGATCAAATCTTCGAGAGTGGACATATCAAAACGAAAGTGTACGTATTTTACATCTCGTAAGTGGCACATCCGTTCAAGGACATGACCGATCTCTTAATATGAGTAGGCCTATTGTTTTCTTATCGATAAATCCGAGCTCCTTTGTTTTTTGATCCATGATCTCTGTACTTATCGCGCTTCAGGATTCTAGCTAAATCTATGTGCATATCAGGTAAAGCTATCCCGTTTTCCCTTCTAGTTACACAGTCCACTCAAAACAAGGCATATGCAACCGCCATATGTCGCATCACTGCGTATCTTTCTAATCAATATCTTGTGAAGCATGTATACACGCGCCGTTGTTGTTTGGCTATGTCTTGGCATATAATGGACCTTACTCATACTGTCTATACTTTGATTCATCGTTGAAAACTTGAAGCAGCAAAGCGATTTATGAAAAGAAGTGAATGTTACTTCTGGCAAAGTATCTCATATCGTGAGAATGGTTTCGAAATTCATTCTTCAAAAACTTTGTAAGCATAAAGGCTACTGCATGACGAAGGCGCAATAACAGTATTAGTTGAGCAGGCGCGAACGCGACGCGCGTATCCTCACAGTTGTAAATCCTACGCCTCCTGCGCTCTGCGGCTAATAAAGCCGCGTTCGCGCCCAAAGATATTGCGCCTTCGTCATGCACCTATAGATCTTCATGTCGCTACAAATTTCACTCTTGACATTCTTGGATCTGCTACCCGTGCTTAGGGTCAATACTTACCACTTTTGGGGACTGACACTACGGTGATCTCACGCGCACAACACTATTCACCTAAGCATGACTGGCCTGACAAAGTAAGGCTAAGCACATGTATTAGTAATACAAGAAAATTCGCCTTAAAGATTCGCCTTGTTAGTGACTGGTAAAATTTGAGAAAGGGAACGTGCCGAAGCAAGATTTCTAGTCCTATCGCGTTTTTCAAAGTGGTGATAGTTTCTTTGACGTGCAGTGTTATTTGTTAATTGAAAACTGCGATGAATAGAATTTTTGTGGCTATTCCAAGTTTTAAAGGGTAAAAAATTTCTACAAAGTCAATATCAGTCTCAAAAATACAAGTGAAAACAAACTACGCACAATTGATATTTTTTAGGCAACTTTCAAGAATTTCGCTGGTCATTTTTCAGTGTCCCATCTCCCCCCCCCCCTGCTGTTTGTCACCGATGCGAAGCGTGCATTTTAACAGGTTAGATCTAAATTGCTAACAAGGAAAGAATGGTCAGTGTGGCCGTTTAAGGTGAGATGTATACCATTTTTCGGGAGACATAAAAAGCTAATTTCAAACTTGCCTTCCTTATCTGCGGAAAATTCTTGATTAGAAAGAAATGAACGTTTGTTGGTGCAAAAAATCGAGTGAGCAACAATAGCAGCAGAATGAAATCGTCGTGGAATTTTTCTAGCTCTAAGGAAGCAGTTAGTGAGGCTTCATTCAAATTAAGAGTATTTATTGCACGGAGTGCTTTGAGAAAAATGCTGCCTTTGAGGTCCAGGAAGAATATTACAAGCGTTTCTGCTCACGTGGCGCATTCAATTTTTTTCGTTTTGTTGCACGCTTACAACTCCTCGTTCACAAAAGCTCCGCAATAAGAAGTGCAGACCTTATCAGCGCTCTCTATGTCTTCCAAGAAGATATGCATCTCATTGCAAGAGACCGTTCAACATCTTTCTTTTGTAAGTATTAGGGTGATGCAAAAATAATGTCCTTTTGCAAGGTTTCGCTTTGAAAAGCTATAACTTTGCCCAGTTATTTTATTTCTAAATGCAGTCAAGATCTTCAGCGCGCACCTCGCGTACGGATATCTAAACGCGAAGAAAACCATGCGACAGAAACCGTTTTCTTTTGCAAACCTCGTTTTGAGAGAATATGGCTCACTTCAAGTTTGCTTCCTATCAGTGCTGATCCTTATTTTTTTAACAAACACTTAATATACGTTTGCATAGAAAAGACTTTAACGAAGAAGTTCAGCGAAAGGAAAGTTTTTTTCAATTTTTGGGCTTGTTTGTGGTAAGCCAGAAAGCCCCAAACTATGAAAATTAGTTTTTCATACATCGAATGCCTAAGTTTTTCTGCAAAAACTGTAGGCAAGATGTGCTGACTCAAGCATACACAAATGAGCGAAGCTTTGGCGATTGCCTCAATTCTTAGAATTCTGACCCATAGAATGCCACCGGCGAAAATCTATTTTGGCGTCGATTTCTTAGTCCAGGTATTATCAAGAAATCTAATTATATTAGATTGTTCGGAAAATAATGTCGCATGGCATCCTACCGCGACAGAATGACCATAAAAAATAGCGGATGGGGTATCATTTAATAGAGCAAAGCAAGCTCTACAAGATAGTTCACAAATCTACGCGGAAATCGTGCTCCACCTGAAGTTCGCATCCAAAATGTAAACATTTTTAGATATCCGAAAAATTGTATCTCGGTTCATAGACGTCTTATGGATCTTCAATTTGTATAGGCATGTACCCTCTACACTAGACATTCACCTGTATAGTTTGTGTTATTTTTCCTTGGCTACAGTACGAGAAATTAAAATAGGTCAAAAAAGCGAATATGTGGCGTTTTTCGGGCTTTTTGCAAACAATTTGATTTTTCTCGAAAACTAGCGCTTATCTAAAGCTGAAAATTCATGGTTATAATTTTAAAGGTCCATACTAGTATCACCCATGTGAGAAAAGCTCAGGATTGCTTTGGCAAAAATGTGTCGAATTTCGTTTTCTCATTTTTCAGCCATGGAAAAACCGCAAAAATGTGCATACGAGTGTCTCATATAGTGAGTCCACGCGTGAGCAAGTCAGGGTTTCCCAGGATTTTTCTGAACAGAGATACGATTTTTTTCGCTTTTTTAGATTTTTAGTGCCTTGTCAAATTTGGCTCCAAACTTCACGCGAATCAAACCTGGCGCAAAGGCTCGAGTTTTATTTTGTAGAGCATGTTTTGATCTATCGGTTGGTATCCCATTTACATACTTTCGTGCTCACCCTGCCATTTTGCATGTTGAAATAAAAAGTGACATTATTTTCCGAACAACGTAATACATGCGATAGATAAACGATAGCCATCCGTTACGGTAGCTATGTTTCCAAAAGATTTCGTTTATCTGAGTCCGGACTGTGGACAAGAGACTGAAAGCAATGAGATTTCGATCCTGAGTGCTGCTGTGCAAAATACTGCTCACAGATGAACGATAGGTAGCCTAGTTGCACCACCATTAGAAGTACACCAAGAGAGCTTTCCAATGATGTGGAAAATCTGTGCCGAAAAAAAGTTTGATCTCATATATAAAGCTGAATGTCTGTTTGTCTGTCTGTATGTCTGTTCTGTCTGTATGTCTGTCTGTACGTATGTTCCGAATAGAAAATTCCATTTCTTAACCGATCCGGACCAAACTTGGCACACATACACTTCAGGCCCCGGCGGGTGTCACAGTCCACTTTTCGTTATCGATCGATATCAATTTTATCGATTTTTTGCAAAATGCTGATCACCCCCCGTGGGGGTGATCAGCATGCTCGATTACCCCCTGTGCCAACTCCCAGCCCCGTAGCTCAAATTTTGCAAAAAATCGATAAAATCGATATCGATCGATAACGAAAAGTGGACTGTGACATCCGCCGGGGCCTGAAGTGTATGTGTGTCAAGTTTGGTCCGGATCGGTTGAGAAATGGAATTTTCTATTCGGAACATGCGGCGGAGCCGGATAAGCCAGCTAGTAGAAAATAAAGTTGTTTGAAAAATAGGTTTAAAGGACGGACATTATTTGTTTACCAACCTAATATCCCTATGAAGCGTTGAATGCGTAACGCACAACTATCAAGCCAAGCTTGGTATACATGGAGTAATCGCAAAAGTTCTGTTGCAATGTTTAATTGGTGCATAAAAGCCTCCGAAAACACGCCAGCGTTCTCTTTATAGTTCTTGGATGGCCTTAAATTCACTGATTCTTTTCAATCAAGTTTTCCTATGCAAGCTATCTCATGCAAATGAAGTGAATCATAGTTTGTACTTTTTTTTATACTTTGCTTCTTTTTTGCATGAAATAGCCTATAACTGCCCGAAACTCTAAAATTCAAATTTTGGATGAAAGAAGGCCAAACTTGGGCCCGTCCAAAATGCCGAAGCTGTGCCAGAGCCGAAACAACGCGAAACGGTGCCGTGCCTGTCTTAGCCGAGACAGCGCTAGAGGGGCTTTCGATAAAGATTTCGATCATATCTGTGTGGCAACGAGGTCCGCTATGTTCCCGTCCATAGCGAAATGATCGTGTTCTGATCGAAATTGGTTGGAGCAGCTCCGAGACAGCAGACGCTGCCTCGGCGCTGCCTCAGCTCGGCACAGCTTCTGCACTCTGGACAGAGCCTTAATAATCTGGTCAATGAGTCTTAAAATAATCATGCTGCAATCAACATAACCAAAATTTCGACGTTGGAAATTGACATCTTACTAACTGGTATAGTTTCGCTTGGTCCCTGTCAACAAACCAATAGTCCGCCACTCCGTCCCACTTGCACATAGGACATTCGAAAAATCGTGACGATGGCGCGACCGCGCGCGACACGCACGCACTTCCAGTTCTTGATTTCTATCTCTACTCGAATAATTGCCATGATAGTATTCATACAGTGGAGGTAACTGAGCTGGGCATTGAGTTGCTTCCTGTTTGTGTAGGTGTTTTACGCTCCTGTGTGCGCAATGACCGCAGTCAAACTCGTCGTCAGATTTTGAGGATGAACCATACAACATCTTCCTTTCCCTGTCTCAATTCTATAAGCGAGCTCCCAGCCTACCGCGTTTTCGTAGTCAGCATGCTGAGAAACGGCCCTTTTGAACCGCTCGCTATCACAGCGCGACTCTGATTGGTCAATATGTCCACTGCCATAACGAGTTAATACTCGTTCATTTTTGTACATCTTTCGTGTCCAACATGATGATAGGTTTTGGTACAGGTATATTACATACTTCGAACTAAGGATTTTCCCGTTGACTGTAAATGCGACTTGTTAGCTTTGCCAGCGGCCCCGCACGCAACGAGACGAGCGTCGCGCGCGAAGGGTTCAAAAGGGCCTACACCCCAAGTGTAGTAGTAGTAGCTGAAAGAGGGAATCAAAGTATTACACCACGATCGTTGATTGCCTTTGGGAGATTTCGAATGATAAAAAACCTATATCAGACTTCGTTTTCTGATTACTGTAAAAATTCAAATTTAGGTGAAAAAATGCTTACCTCTTCGCATTTTCATCCAATACTAATCTATAAGTTAAGAGTACAGCATAGTAACCACACAGCCACAGTACAAGCTCCACTACTATCTGTTTCCAGATGGATCCACGCCATCGAAATAATAGCTTTACAAATGAAAATGCTGTCACCGACGAAACATCCAAATTATATGAAACAGTCATTTCATTTGAAGGAATAAGATAGTCAGTTTTCTGAAATAACTCCGAAAGCAGGATTGAAGCTTGAACTGATTTAAGCGTCGATAAAAATCTCATCCGGTTGAAAGTAGAAATCACGCTTTGTTCAAAGTGAACAGGGAGAAAGCACATATTATTTATATTCTGGCCACTAAAAGGGCCACACTACAAAGGATTTGTGGCTTTGCTGAAAATCGTCACGCGGTTTATTGGCACACCCTCCAATGTTGTTTTATCTGTACAAACAGAGCATGTAGGACCGATATTGAACGATTTTACGCGTTAGTGATCAGTATCAAGTAGGGTATCACGAAGTTATGCAAGAGACAATATTATAATCAAAAGTCATACGTGAATCTCAGCCTTTAATTTTGGCCAAAATTCACAGTTTTACTTTTTGCTGATTTTTGAAGGTGCTGTAACAGGCTAACAAGGGAATGGTCAGAAGTCGAAGTGGCCGGACCAAAGAAGCTGTTTACCATTCGATGCAGTTTAAATCACTGACTTCGAATCTGTCTTCCTTATCTGCTTCCCGCTTCTGTGGACGAAGCTACAAGCGGTTTTATTGTGAAAAAATCATACATAAAAACAGCGAAATTGAGCACATTGTTGCACTTTTAGCTCAGCTTCTGGCTTCAAAAATCTTAAGTAAGCTAGCTGCATGTTTTGGCCCAGCATCGAGGCGAACGTGGCTCTGTATGGCTAAATTTTCAAATTTTCGCATAATTTCTAAGCAAAATAATGGTTTTTAATGGCTTACAGCTTCGTCCACAGAAGGAGTCAGCGCTTCATGCTGCATCTAACTGTACACAGCTTGTCTGGAATGGCCACTTCGATTTCTGACCATTTCCTTGTAAGGCCCAAGCTCGATAACCCTTCATAATAAATGTTGCGATCTTGAATACAGAGCAGGCCACAAAGCTTGATAACGTTTCGTTAGTATTCTGTTGCGCTCGAAAATCATGCATGTAAGAATGCATTTTGCGCATGTGGTTCAATATAACAGAAACATCATTACTAAAACTAACTCTACATTCTATTCGAAAAGCTAGGTGATGTTGTTTCACTCACCCTCTTTTCCTCCATGATATTATTAGGATGTCCAGAAAATAATGTCGCTTTTTATTTTAACATGCAAAATGGCAGGGTGAGCACGAAAGTATGTAAATGGGGTTCCAACCAATAGATCAAGACAAGCTCTACAAAATGAATCTCGAGCCTTTGCGACAGGTGATTTGCGTGAATATTGGAGCCAAATTTCACAAGGCACCAAAGATCTAAAAAAAACGAAAAAAGTCGTATCTCTGTTCAGAAAAGTCCTGGGAACTCCTAGCTTGCTCACACGTGGACTCACTATACGAGACACTCGTACGCACATTTTCGCGGTTTTTCCATGTCTGAAAATTGAGAAACGAAGTTTGGCATATTTTTGCCAGAAAAATCCTTCTCTCACATGGGTGATTCTGTAGCATGAACCTTTAGGAGTACAACCATGAATTTTCAGCTTTAGAAGCGCTAGTTTTCGAGAAAAAATCAAATTGTTCGCAAAACAGCGAAGAACGCGACATACAGTGACCGCCAAAAAGTTGCGGACAAGCCTCCGTCCCTTTTTCATCGCTCTATTTCAAAAGGAAAACAAGGATAAAAAATGTAGTTATTGCATGAGGTGATAGAGCTCTTCAAGATCTACAACCTACACTTTGCGTTTTTCAAAAAACATGTATTCTAAAAAATTTTAAAAACTTTTTTAAAAAAAAGTCCGAAAATGGCCGCGTCACAATGTCGCGGACAATAATTCTTCGAACGCAAAAATTTTCTTTTGAGTCCTATTTTGAGGCGGAAACACAAGTAATCCAAACGGGTAAGCATACTACTACTCAGAGCTCGTCAAGAACTACACACTGGTTATGGTTGCTTCCCAAAAAACACAAGGTTGAGTTTTATTTTACTTTTTTTCAAAAATAACTTCTAGTTCTCCTTTTTAAGCCACGTTTCTTCACATGGAAACCTATTCACGACATTCCAACAACGCTGTTCGGATAAAGTAGATGCTCTTTACCATTCTCCATGCATCTGACGTATGCTGCTGAGTTTCTTTGCTGGAAATGGCTCTTGGCAGTTCTTGCACATGACCCCACCTGCACCTCATCACTGACTTGTACCGCTTTGCAGGCTTGTAATCGGCTTGTAGTCAATCTGTGAGCCTGCAGTTAGGCTCTTTCGAAAAAACGAGACTTCCTCTATACGATGGCATGCAAAAGAAATGGGTCTAGGAAACAACGGAGATTTGGCGGATGGGGTGGAAAAACGCGGCCTCAGTGGTGGTTGGAGTGAAAGCTCTTATCAGCACCAAAACAGTTCTAGAGCTTCAAAATGGATCTATCATAAAAACATTGACAGTTTTAAGCTTCTTGATTGGACTGGTGGCGAAAGAAGCTCTATTCAACTTTAGCTGGATATCCTCACCCTACCACTGAGGCCGCGTTTTTCCACCCCATCCGCCAAATCTCCGCTGCTTCTTATACCCATCTCTTTTGCATACTGTCGTGTAGAGGAAGTCTCGTACTTTCGAATGAACCTAATTGCAGGCTCACATATTGACTACAAGCCGAGTTACAAGCCTGCAAAGCGGTACAAGTTAGTGGTGAGGTGCAGGTGGGGTCATGTGCAAGAACTGCCAAGAGCCATTTCCAGCAAAGAAACTCATCTGCATACGTCAGATGCATGGAGAATGGCAAAGAGCATCTACTTTATCCGAACAGCGTTGTTGGAATGTCGTGAATAGGTTTCCATGTGAAGAAACGTGGCTTAAAAAGGAGAACTAGAAGTTATTTTTGAAAAAAAGCAAAATAAAACTCAAACTTGTGTTATTTGGGAAGCAACCATAACCAGTGTGTAGTTCTTGACGGATTACTTGTGTTTCCGTCTCAGAATAGGACTCAAAAAAAATTTTTGCGTTCGAAGAATTACTGTCCGCGACATTGTGACGCGGCCATTTTCGGACTTTTTTCAGAAAAAGTTTTTTAAAATTTTTAGAATACATGTTTTTCGAAAAACGCAAAGTGTAGATTGTAGATCTTGAAGAGCCCTATCACCCCATGCAATTACTACATTTTTTATCCTTGTTTTCCTTCTGAAAAAGAGCGATGAAAAAGGGAGGGAGGCTTGTCCGCAACTTTTTGGCGGTCACTGTATTCGCACTTTTGACCTATTTCTATTTCTTGTACTGTAGCCAGGGAAAATACCACAAACTATATAGGTGAATGTCTAGTGTAGAGAGTACATAGCTGTGCAAATTGGAGATCCATAAGACGTCTATGAACTGAGATACGATTTTTCGGATATCTAAAATTTTTTTTTGGATTCGAACTTCAGGTGGAGCACAAATTCCGCATAGCTTTGTAGATTATCTTGTAGAGCTTGCTTTGCTCTATCAAATGATACCCCATTCGCTATTTTTTATGGTCGTTCTGTTGCGGTAAGATGCCATGCGACATTATTATCCGGACAACCTATTACACACAATTCAAGCTCATTTTTATGTAGCAGTTCAGTGTTTCCACCCGAACTGTGATCAATATAGTGAGAAAATCAACCGACGATTAGACAACTGACATGTTAAATTTTTCTTGTAACCTATCTGCAACCATTGACTTCTCATACCCAGACTCAAGAACAGTGAGTGTGAAGAAGTCGTTATCTGGGCGGTAATTAATGGTAAACGGTGTGCTCACACTCTCTTGTACCTCTTCCAGCCTTCGAACTCCTGCGAAGAAAGTCATTTACTTGACAAAGACGATTGATAGTTATGACGAGTGTTTTACTCGTACTCATCGTGCTTGCTAAAGCCTCATCCTTCCACTCACATTTTGCTTCATAATCAATAAGTCGATTTAATTTGTCGTCATGTCCAAGCGTTAGAATGGGCGAGCACTAACGTTAGAGTGCCCTAGGCAGAATGCTCCGCTCTATCGCTGGGAGGCGATGAAAAGAAATAGTACTCGATAGAATCTGTACTCGTGAGCATTTCGATTTTAATAGATCTAGATTAGGGATCCTTCAGACCGCGCACAAAGGCGCACGATGGCGCCGGAACTGCCGAAGCGCAGAGATTTGCCGGCAAAGTGCCATATTGGAATACGCGTGAAATACAGCGCGCGTTGTTCGTTGGGCTACTTGTGACTAACATACGTGCACAACGCGCGCTGTATTTCACGCGTATCCCAGCATGGCACTTTGTCGGCAAATCCCTGGGCTTTGGCAGTTCCGGCGCCTTCGTGCGCCTGCGCGCCTTTGTGCGCGGTTTGAACGATCCCTTAGAATTTTATCAGATATTTACATACTAACAGAAGTACATATGTACACGTACAAACAGAAACAGAAAAAAAGGGAAACAAAAATACTAAAGTAAAATAGGACTGAAAATAGGATAACTGCAATAGTTCATATTTCTCTATGTCTTAGAGATAGGGTCCGATATACCATTCGATAAAGCAAAGCAACTCTATACGACAGTTCCAAAGGTTTGCACCAACTGATCCATGCGAACTTTGAGACAAAAACTAAACCAACGGCCCAAAGATATTGGTACCTCGCAAGGTTTTGAGTTTCGACAATAGTGAAGCATTCAGAAGCAAATTGAGGGAAGTTCATTTGCCAATTATAATATTCCCGGCAACTTGGTTCTTATGCTTTAATTACAGGTCTGGTTCCTTCCGGTCTACCTTTTTGCTAAGACTTTATTTGTTGACCAAGTATATTACCAACTTGGCTTTTACGACGATTGTTTGAGTTTAAAATCACAAAGCAGAATAAGGTAGGTGTTTCGAAGCGTCGGCGGTGTCAGGTTGGTGAAGACCTGGCAGGAGCCAATAGCAGGCGTTCTTGGACAGCTAAGAGTGGCAGTGGCATTCATCAGTGCCAATCATCTGACCTCCCTTAACCAAATAAAAACTGTTCCTTCCCAATACCTGAGGTAGTTCTTAATGAATTGTTTGCTCCGACAGAAGGGGACAAA